TAAACATCATAGGCACACAAAGCTGCCGGTGAACCTGTAAATTTCAGATAAACATAAAATTCAGCACTAATTAACAGATTTGGAAGTACAGCTACAGGCTATGACTCTGGTGTGTGTAAACATGCAGAAAAGCTGGAGTTAAAACATATGAGACTTTCAAACGAGTCCTTTTTTATTTTTGGACCCTCTCAATTCAATTTAAGCATACATTAGAAAACTATCTGACCCAATCTTTCTGTGCAACTACTTTCCATAAATACAAATGGAGCCTTAAAGAATTATTAGCCCTGTGACGGTCACTCCTTTTATGCCTCAAAGATCCAAAAGTCAATTAAGCTTTAAAAAATCGAAAAGAAAATCAACATGTATAATTGGCGAGCTGCAAGTCTGTTCAGTGCTAGGAGAGCAGTAAAAGTTAAAAAGAGCTAAAATGATTTGGAGTTCTATAACCAGATATGTATGTACCAGAAGCACCTTGTTCAGATGACCTGCATTGGAAAAAGAAAAGTAATAAGAATTTTGTACGCAAAAATACATCAAATCCTTACAATGATGATTAAAACGAACAAAACATGACCTAATACAAGGTTACACGCAATTCAGCAAATATCATGTAAACAGATACAATTTGATAGGATCAGTATTATTAGTAACCTTGCCCCAGGTGCTATGGTTTAAGGGGTAAAGATATTAATACAAAATGTCTAATATTTTTTCTTTGAATGAAACGAGAAACAGGTATACAATGCACCTAAGGTTAATCAAATCTGCAGACAAAAGAACATCTGTGTCATGCTAACTTTAAAAACTGTACAGGTTTTACTTTGGCCACTGCTAGACAGATTTTTTTTTTTGGTGGGGGTGGAAGAGAGAGAGGAGAGAGGTAGTGCAGCTAAGATGAGAATAGACGAGAGTCTCAACTCCAAAGTGGTGGGGGGTGGGGGAAGACAGAACTCATCATATGGCCGTGCCTAGGGTTTTCCATTGGAATTGCAAATATCATGAGAACTAAAATTTAAAAGAAACTCATTTAATTTAGATGATATATTGCAAGGAATTAATGAGGTAGCCACAGATTAAGATGATGAAGAAGAGAAAGAAAGATATGCAAATATGAGGAGCATGTTAACTAGGACAGCAGCAAGAAATGGATATAAAAGCAAAATTACAAGCTGCATTTTACAAAAAAGACTAAAACATGTCAGGTATTACCAAGGTAACTAAATAACAGACTGAATAAAATAATATATCAAAATAAATATTTATGAAATAATAAAATCTATAATTCATAGACAATGGACATCCAGGAATAGTCACAGCTAGGAAAGAGACAAGTGATTAGATACAATTATTCACAGGACACTTACTGTGGCAAGCGTAGCAACCTAGTAATCCTGCTTTGATGGGTGTCCCCTTCTTGAGGACAGACATCACTCACGCTCCCTAGCCGCACTTCAAATTTATCATCAAGAAGTATACTGCTTGCTTGAACATCCCTACAAAAAGAAAGCTAAATCACTACTTGCACCAACAAGAATGCAGAAACAATAAAGATGCTCTCCGTCACCTGCATAAGTTAATCGTTGATAGAAATGCAAAGATGCAGCGCATAAAAAAACATTCACTCTTCAAACAATTGACGTACATATACATATGAAAACAGTAAATATTCCAAAATTTTGCTCTATTTTTGCATCTACCTAGAGGAATGGTTAAAATTCTAATTTACTTTTTTTATTCTATTAACAATCTTAATCAAACCTAAATGTCACAATCATCATTCACTAGCTGTCTAACCAATCATGTTTTGCAAGTTGGTCAAGTCGAATATCAAGCTAGTACCATGTCCATGCCTCAGATAAAATCATTATCAGGAAGCTTATTGATCAAATCTGCGGCTTCCACACTTTGTTTAAATCACTATTCTTAAAGTTCTTCCCATCACTTCTGTACTCAATACTCCATTAACTAATTCAGTGCAACTGCCATCTGACTTTATACCTCAGGGATATTATAATCGCCACTTACAAGTCACAACCATATTACTGTTGCTCAGCTATTTTTATAATTGAAATAAAACAAGACAAAAATATTATCCTCCCCTTAAATATGTCAAACACATTACTAATTCTTATCCGCTGATGTTGACAGGAGTATCTTGGCCAATATACTTGGCCATCTCTGTGTTGCTTTTTAATTCCTCTGACTTGGAATGATAAAATTTTGGCGATAGAGTAACACTAGGATCATCTTCTAGAAAGCCGTAGTCAATCTATTATACTGTTAGCTTCAATTTCGTGCAGACTTTGAGAGGAACAGGTAGTTGCAAAAAATCATACTTTGTGAATTCCCAAATTGCTTTAACTTCTAATGTTGCACGGAAGCCCTTAAAAATCATGACCACAACATTCTAATGTTGAAGAAACATTGCACTACACAAATTCCATCTGAAAATCAACTTTATGTGTGTGTGTGTGTGTGTCTACATACATTCAACGTTATATGTACATATAAGTATGTATCCATCTCAAACAATGATCTAAACAGATGCTATAGATGACAAATAAAGCATACGAAATAACAAGAACCTGACTGCTGGAGAATAAAATAAATGTATCAGAAGGGAATAATTTAAACATAAAAGTTTAACTTTCAAGTTACCTGTGCACGTGGGGGGGATTGCATTCATGATGCAGATAGGAGAGACCCTCTGCTGCGCCTAACGCAATCTTTAATCTCGTTATCCAATCCAACGACTGTAAACTATCATCCTCTGTGCTTGTTTTCTTAAACAATGAATTTGATAAGTCCCCATTTGGCATATATTTGTAGACCAGGAACTTCTCATTCTCATTCTCTAAACAGTGTCCCAAAAGGGGAACAAATCTTGTATATGACACCTTACTAAAGAAATCCAATTCCTGCAGGTATGCTTCCTTTTTAATTGAGCGTAAATCAATCCGTTTGATGACCACAGGTATCCCATTTTCCAGGACTCCCCTGAAGAGATCCCCTGAGTGGCCATTTTTTATCAAGTTTGCATTGTTGAATTCACCAGCGGCTTGAACCAGCTGCTGATATGCGAAAGCATCTCCTACACTAGAAAAGTTAATCGATGCTCCTGGAGGTGGTGGACCGCTGCCTGCAGTAACTAGCCCCACGCCAACTCCGCTTTGAGGTGTAGTTCCCCTCTTGCGTAAACATAGGAATAGCACCACACAAAACAACACTAAAAGCACAATCAAACCAACTCCCCCTAAAACTGCTGCCAAGACGATCACCTTTTTATTGCTGTTCCCAGGAGGTTCTGCTGGAGGTGGTTGTGTAGAATTTGGCTGTCCAAAATTATCAAAAGCCAAACCCCTGTCAGAATAGAACGAAGAGCATTCCGTCAATGTCCTCTGATTCTTCACATTTTGGAGGCAATTGCTGCCAAGAGATGCATTTGTGCCCACATACCCTAGTACACCACCTTCAAAATAGTTTCCCGAAATATCAATGACGCTGAACCTTCCAAGTAAAGGCGTTAGACCTCCATAGAACAGATTCCGAGAAATATTGAATACTGCAGCAGTGGCATTAGCATTTGAGCTAGAATTGGGCAGCATACCAGTGAAATTATTGCCAGAAACATCAAGAAGGCTCAGTTTGGGAATTGACCACAGCATTTTAGGAAGACCACCCGTGAAACCATTGTTTCTCAGAACTATGACCTGCAACTGCGTCGGTGTTGGAAACAGATTATCCAGCAAAGTCCCACTAAGCAAATTGTCTGCAACTATCATTCTCTGCAAGTTCTTTAACCCCCTCAAATCTGCAGGCACTGACCCGGCCAACAGATTGGCACTTAGATCAAGGTCAACCAAGCTACCAAGGTTCCAAAGTTGAGGAGGTATCGAAGCAGACAACATGTTGCTCGATAGATTCAAATACTGAAGCTTCAACAGGGTCCCAATGGCCGGAGGAATCGACCCGGATAAGTAATTCCTAGAAATGTCAATCACAGACAGATTCCCAAGGTTGCCAAAGGATGTAGGAATGGATCCAGTAAGGCGATTTCGCGAAAGATCAAGAACCAAAAGGCCTAGCAACTGGCTCAAAGTAGCAGGAATTGTCCCGGTAAGGTTGTTATGTGACAAATACAGAGCAGTCAGATTGGCTGAATTTCCCAGACTCAATGGAATAGAACCAGTCACAGAACAATCAGTGAGATCAAGCACTTGTAGGGATACGAGTTGTTGTCCAAACCAGTCGGGAATTGAACCCGGAAGCAGGAAATTGGAAGCATTGAAAGAGTGTAAAAGGGTTAAATTGGCTAAAGCATTGACAGAAAATTGTGGGTTTCGACTGCCAAGTCGAGTCCTTCTAAACCCCGAAATGTTAATCCCAACAACTCTACCATTCCGGCATTCCACACCTCTCCAAATGAAACAAGGGTCAGCCTTTCTCGGCCAGTCCCTGCCCCTTAAGCCTAACGACGACCTGAGGTCCAGCAGCGCTGCCCGCTCAGCCGGTAAACCCAGTGGCAATGGCGGCTGGCTGGGCTGCTCAAATGTGGGCTCGAACAGCAACCCAACCACCACCAAAACCAACGCACACGATAATACGCTTCGCTGATACATCATGCCTCACAAAGATCCAACCATGTCCATCTCTCACCTCCCTCTTCTCTCTGAGGCAATATATCAAACACTTACATTACATGTGTTTGACTACCATGGAGCTCCCCAGAACTACACCTGCCCATTACACAGTAACATTGCATTTCTCTCTCTAAAATCCCCAACTCTCTCTCTAAAAAACAAGAAAAAAGAGAAATGTAAGACTCTTACCTCAAATTCACACGCTTTGAATTCCCCCACTACAAACTATTGAGGGACGGGAGGAGAGAGAAAGAGAGATGCAGACAAATCTCCCTCCACTTTCTTTGCTTTCCTTTTCTTTCTCTCTCTAAAATCCTCCAAGTTTTCCAGTTGACAAATCCGAGAGATCAAAAGTAAGAAAGACACAAAATTTAGAAAAAGCAAACCGTAATAGAAAACCCCATTTAATCAATTATTCTAATTTTGTAGAGAGAGGACAGAAAGTGGCTGGTCAAAGCTCCAGAGAGCAACCGTGGACTTTCGAACTGCTGCTCTGGTAAGAGTATTTCAAATTTTCATTTAATACTAGGGTCCAAAGTTTATGTTCGATTCATATTAAAAATAAATTTAAATTATATTATTATTATTTTATTATGAAACTAAACGGACTCTTACTTTTTAATATAAATAATATCATTCGTTTATTAAAAAAATTTAAAAACAAAGAGAGAAATTTAAGGCAGGGTTTCTCTCTCTTACTTTTTTGTTTAAATTTAATTGGTTTCTTTTGTGATTAGAAGGGCTGAGACTGGAAAGTTATGGAAAAGCTGAAGTCTTTGGAATGTGCCAATGTGGTGGTGGCCGAGTCAGTTGAGTCATTGACTTGGGGTTTGGACGGTGTGACTCGTGGTGGATCTGAACCCTGGTCCGGCGCCGGCTCAGTGGGTTGGCGTTACGTTTGACCTCCGTTAATCCTGCCCATTCCAGCTCAGAGACCCATCCACTGTTCCCTTTTTTGGCTTTCCTAATTTGCTCTGCTTCTATGGAAAATGTTTATCCAACAGGATCCTCTCTCCAGATCATTTTGGTGAGAATCCTGAAAATCTGTGAATTGTATTCGTTACATTATTCGGTAAATTTTTGTCAAGTACTATTTATTTTTATTTTTAAATAAAAATATTTAAAATGATTTCCAATTGCACGATGTACGATAAACGAACACGATTCATGAATCCGACAAGAATCCGAACACAATGTTTATATTATTGTACTTTTTATTTGCAAGATTCATTTGTTAATAAAAAAATGAAAAGACTATTTAGTCATTATTTACAATTTAATTAAAAAATGATGGTCTATAAAAATAATTTCGCATAAAAATATTTCTTTTTCTTCTCTCACATATCATTAAAGGATATTATCTTTAACTATCCTCTCTCTTCATCTCCCTTTAAAACAAATTTAAATAAAAATAAAAATATTTTTTTAACAAACGATAGTATTTACGCTAAGAGAATGATGGAGTAGGTTAAAATAGACAATAAGTTAGCCATAATAATAGTTCAAAATCATCTTTAGCAATGATCGAATTTAAGACATCTCACTTACAACCGTAGTATTAAATAACTACAATTTAACCCACGTTCTCTCTTTTAAAAATGAAAATTTTTAAATAAAAAATAAAAACCAAGTTAACCTACAATTATCTCCTCATTTGCTCCCATAAAATTTACAAAAAAATCAAAATCAAAATTTCTCACACACATTGTGTGTGGGCTTTTCTAGTATACAATTATTGCAGAGACCCCTAACTGTTTTAGAGAATTTACAGATGATACCCTTTTGTATGTGATTTTTCTGATTTCTAGGCTGTCAACCATTGGGAATGAATATGTGTCCATGAACTAAACTGGATTCTCCCTCTCTCTATATATATGGGAGGAAGGAGGGAAAATATGGAATGAAATTTTGGGTAAAATGGTAGGTCGAATATTTTTCCTCACCATCATATACTATAGTGTATGTTCATCATAATTTATGATTGTGAACAAAAATGCTTCTGTAAAAAATGATCCCGTAATTTATGGTTGTGAACATACACTTTAATTTATTGTTGTGAGCAAAAATGCTTTCGTAAAAAAGGTGTGTACTTTCTTCAATAAGCCTATGAGAATTAAAGTTTGTCTTTCTTTTTCAAATGGTAATTTGCACCTAAATAGAAATAAAAGGTTGGATTCTCTCTCTCAAAAAGACAACTAACCCACCCAATTTTTAAATTAGGAAATCTAATTTGAAGGAAAATACTAGAAAGCAGTGAGTGATATGAAAGAAATCTAGTGAATTGAATGATTATGGAGCCCTTGACAAGACAATGAATTTTGCTTGGTTTGATAGATATCATCATGTACGTGATGATTAGGTTAAAGCATATAACTTTTTCATCATATATAGGATTCTTTGATTTACATAAAAAGCATAAGGACAAATCAATATACCACATAATGAAGTGGCAATTTCAATTATTTATAGTTGGCTAATTGAGGTGGATTAGGTATGAATTATTGTTTTGAACTTTTTGAGTGTGATTCTAGCCACAGATGAAGAAGATAGATTTTAATTGGAAATATATTACTTGAGAAACAATACTATATGATGACATTCTTCCGATTTGTTCCCTCAAATTTCAATTTGGTTATGATCCTAGTTAATTCAACTTTCTAACTGTTAAATTTACTACATTTTATGTTACTTTTTTTTCCGTCTACATCGCAAAAGTAACTCTTAAGGTTACGATTAATCACTAGGCAATCGTCTATGTAAGTAGGTGACTTTTTTATTCTTTTTATTTTTATTTTTAAATGACTTAGGATCACAACTCACTGTAGAACAAAATATGAAAACCCAGACTTTTTTCCCTATGAGATATTCATGTTTTACATAGATTATGGTTTTTTATAATATTTATATTGTTATAGTTCTATTAGATTATGAATGTGATCGTGTAAATGCTATCATATTTTGTGATATGCTTATGAGATTCTACCATATCTCTTAGATTAATTATTATCCTATTAGAGTTGTAATCATATTGGGTGAGATTCTACCGTATCTCTTAGATTAGATATTATCCTATTAGAGTTGTAATTCTATTGGGATAATGAATTTACATTCCCTACTACTATAATAAAGACACAATGGGGTGAGATAACACACACATCACAATCACACATATCTCTCTTCTATCTTGTTGTGTCACACCCCCCCTCTCCTACTACTATAAATAAAGACACAATGGGGTGAGATAACACACACCTCACAATCACACATATCTCTCTTCTATCTTGTTGTGTCACACCCCCTCTCTCTGTCATTTATATTGTTTAGTTAAATTGGCCTACAACACGTTATTAGCATGCTCTTACCTGAAGCTAAGGAAACTGACGCTAATGAACTGAAGGTTCGTGGAGGAGGTTCTTTTACAAGTTCAAATGCTCAATTCTTTTCTGCCAATCAAGTTCTACTAAAATCCAGTTAGACATTTTCAACGATCATAAAGCATGAAAACATTCTCCATAATGCATGAACCACGTATATTTATATTTACCTTACTCTCTCTCTCTCTCTCTCCTCTCTCTCTCTCTCTATATATATATATATATATTGTATATATTCATATATTTGTCAATATATATATATATATATATTCATGCATAAAACAATTATGAATTTGCTATGTGGAATTTGTGAGTCAAGGAATCGAAAGAAAAAGCAAGCAATTACAGTTTTATCAAACCCTAGAAATTTTTGAAATAAAATAAAATAAAAAATTGGGATTTGCGTCTAAGCTGCGGCTTTAAGCCGCACCACCGTGCCCAGCCACGCTAGCTGGCTTGTAAACAAGCTGCACTATGCAGCGCCTGGACAACCTCAATTTTGGCATTTACAATTCAATATTCCACGATCTGACCTGAATGGTTATGATCTTAGTATTACCAAATTCTTTCTTCAGCTTCGTTGGCAATGTTGTGCGAAGTCCTTATTGTAGCAGTCGTTATTTGTTCTTTTTGTAGTTCCTCTTCAAAGTTGGCACTACTTGTGTGTAAACAGTGTGTTCCTTACCGGTTTTATTGGTGATTTTGCGAACGAAGTTTCTCATGAAGCGGACTATGAAGTGATTAAATTTCTAGTTGTTGGGATTAAAGTTCATTTGGCTTTGGAGTGCTGCACCATTGGTTGGGAAGGGAGCCCAATTTTATGGCTCTTGTTTTGGCCTGTAGCGTAGGTTGTAGATGTGGGCAGCCATGGCTGCTGAAAACCCAAGCACGTAGGGAGTGCCGATTGTCGTGGTTTCATAATTTTCAACTATGTTTTCCTTCCTCTAGGGTACGTGAACCAATGAATTAAAAATTCGGAGATTGGGAGCACCTAGAAAAATTCAAAGAGGGAAAAGTTCTAAAAGGAATTGCAATACGTTATTCAAGAATTAAATCGGGCTCTCAATGAAAGCAACAATTTGTGGTAGCAAAAATCCGTTGTTTTCAGTGTAGACAAAATTGTACCTACAAAACAATTAAGCACTTTTGATCAAAGACCAAAGCCACGTGCCCACGAAATGGGAAGGGTGGTTTGGCCAATGGATATCCGGTGCCTAAATAAGTTTCTCTAAAAAGAGAGAGTAGGTCTTAATTGCGTATCAAAATCTTACTAGAATTTGTGTAGAATGAGGTATTTATAGTTAGATAGCCTACCACTTTATAGGGATTGTCATGCTATGTGTCGACATTCAGTTGGCCAAGGTGCGTCATACGTTGGACGGAGGAGAGAATTATCCCAAATATATTATTAATTAAATATTATTTTTGGATTATCTCGTGCGTTCTTGATTGGTTTTGGTTGTGATTCATTGCTTAATTGAGTTGGTCTTCAATAAGGAAAGCTTAAAGATAGGGATTAGTTGTTAATCATATCTTTAATTTCCTTGTCTTTATCTCCTTACCATAGGCAACGGAACTCGTAGCAACAGCTGAGGTCTTCTTGGTGGTTGTATTGGCACATGGAACGGATGTAAATCTTGCCAATTTAATGAGGACATTCTTATCTTGTGGGTAAAAGTCTACGTGTAACTCTAATATTTTCCGAATTATTTTTGGCTCCAACTGAAAAGCTAGCAAATAATTAAGGGTCGTCCGTCTTTCAAACAAAGACCAACAATTCACAATCATGAAATATATATTTTTAGATTAAATGGAGCTTTGTTGAAAAATTATTACTAACTTACATAGAACATATATGCTAAATGTAATCTTCAAAAACAAACCTTATCCACGAAAAAATCACATGGAAAACTCATAGAGAATGAATAAAATGGCACACATGCCAAAATTAATAAACACCACAATTATAAACTAATGATGAGCTTACACTACGTTTGGATGAAGAAATTTAAAATTATCAAGGAATTTAAAAATAACGGAAATTGAAATAACAAGATTTTATTTTCTAGAATTTGTAAATTTTCTTATTTGGTTAACTTAAAAGAACAATAGAATTGAATACAGAATTTGTTATTTTTAAACTTTCAATCATAGAAATTGAGAAATGATATTTATTTATATGGAATTTCAACTTGGGATTTGGAGGTCTCAAATTCCAAGTTTTTTTTTTCCATATGGAAATTCAAAATTTCTATATTTATGAATCCAAATAAGAGAATTGGTGTGTCAATTTTTAAATTCTGACTTTTTACCAAAATTTCATATTTATTTCCCTCATTCAAACATAGTGTTAATTTATCTAGATTTAATCTACACAAAACGTCCTAAATTGCCTCAGTGAAATAAAAAAGATGATCCTAATTATATTGTGACCTGACTATAAAAACAATATATAACTAACTCTAAGCAAGATGAGTTTCCAAAAAATAAAATAAAATAAAAAACTCTTAAGCAAGATGGAGAAAAAGGGAACGAACAGAAAAAAGTTGGAGAAATATCTAATCGCCCTATCAAAATCGATTTCAGCCGCCTGCATAATACGGAAGAAAATGAAGGAGTCAAAAGTCAAACGCCGAAATGTATATATAGATAGTGGTCAAAACTCTGTTTTCTGTTTGGATGTCTGGAACTCTCTCTTCTCTGTCACTCAGGTCGCAGCCACAATGATTAAAGATAGTCAACAACAGCAACAACCCACGAAA